GCTTTTCAAATTAGCACTGGGGGCACTTTATCCTCGATGCCATCTTTTAGCCCTCCTGAAAAGATCTGCCAACTTTTTGGCAAAGGTAGCAGATGGGAACAAGCTGCTGCCCCAACAGAACAGTTCATTTAGCTTGAATTTCTCCTCAGTTTATCTGCTCTAACACAGAACTGTGAAAATGCTTTTCGAGAAATGAATTAAGCCTTTAACAGCAGTGAGCAGGTAACTGCTCCCTGCAGAGAACACAAAGATGATGGGTGCCACAGACTTGCAGGAAAGTTTGCACAGTTCCTGGTTTTCATGAGGTGCCTGGGAATGTCTCTGGTGGAGTGCCAGGAGAGAGACATCACGCAGCAAGGATTATCAATACTGCTCGTAAAGGGCCTACCCTTTCTAACCCAAGACAGGTATTTGTATGATAGAGCTATTCTCTGTCATTTTATAAAGTGATCACCAGGCATCCCCAAAGTAAATAAAGTAGTAGCAAACACTCAACAGTGATGTAAAATTCTGACCTGACACAGGCCAGAGGCATCCTGCTTTAACAGAGCCTGCAGAAAGCTGCCTTCTGGAGCGAGCTGGGAGAGCAACCAAAGAGAACAGTTAAAGAATGTTATGAGAAAAAGACAAATGCTCACTGAGGTTGGGGTGCACATATTTCTCACTCAAAATTGCAGAGACCTGCCAAACTCTACAGGCTTGAAATCAAAGTTGCAATCCTGGCTCCCAGCTCCCCCTTCCTCGTGTCTAGCTCTCCACTTCACTCTGCTGCAGTCCTGCAGGCCTTCCTCTGCTCCACAGCACTGCAGCAGAGCCAGCTGGTTTGCCAGTTCCCCATGTTCCTGAAGGAGCCCTTCAAACAGGCCTATTTCCCAATTTCAGATCACCATTCTAGTCCCTTTTCCAATCTCACAGCCCACACTCTTGCCACCCCTCCAACTCTTCCTCCCCTTCTCAATAGTCTCAGAGAGGTAAAAATAGGAAGACCAAAATTACAAATTTTGACCTGGTTTGCTCCTTATCTCCATTCCAGTCACAAAAATAACCAGTCTTCACCTCTGTATGATAAGAAGAGACCCTAAACTTCTAGATGCAGCTGCAAGAATCCCTTCCAAGATCCTTCTAGGAATGGAATGATATACTTTGCTACCAATGCAAGCAATTTTTTCTCAGATCTGGAAGTAGATGCAAATTTTCCAAGAATCCCAATAACAACATAAAAAATAATTAAAGAACAAAAACCTTTATTGGCCCCCAGTAAACAAGCTGCATGTAACTGCTTGGTTTCAGTGTACAAGTAACTGTTGTTCTTCATTTCCAGGAGATCACCCTGGAGTCTGCCCTAGCCAAAATCCTGATTCCAGTATCATAACTCCTGCCAAGAATATGTTGTAGCTTCAAGCTCTGATTTTCTCGGATGTGAAGACTGATGTCATCACACAATGCTAGAAAGAAGAAAGTCAAACAGCATCATATCACTTTAGCCCAGAATGAGAACAAGATAAACAATTATACTCACCAAGTTAATCTCTAGAAGATTCTGTAAATCACTCCGAAAAACCAGATTTTATGACAGAAGTAGTCTGAAGCACATCACAAAACTGGCTTTTGAATAGTTAAGGAAATAAGCCTTTGAAAGCTTTGTCTAAAATAGATGAAAAAATTTCCGCCAAAATTTTGAAATAATTTTTATTTGATCTTCTAAAGACAATTTCCAAGAACTTACTTAAAGTTTTACAAGATTTTTAGCTGTATCACAAATTGTCATTAAAAAAACCCCTACTGCATAAATACTAATAAAAAAGCAAGACCTGGCAATCCTGTTCTAGATTTCCAAACGCTTTGGACTAGGAATCACTGAATTAATAGCATTCTGAAACACACATGTATGAAAGAATCAAGAGTACAAGACTCCTCTAAATCAACAAATATTTCAAAGTGATATTAAATGCTTAGCACATAAGCTCACACAGAAATACCTGCTTTCAGTGCGTTTTATTTATCACAGATTCCACACATGCTATGGGTGGAATGGGCAAAACAAACAAACACACAAGCAGTGCTGACAGTATTTCCCTTAAATAACAACAGAATACACTGCAGCTTGGAAACAAAGGGTGGGGAAAGTCAGAGCCTCCTCAGCAGAGTAGGGGAGGGGAAATTTGGAAAGATTTGGCTCCCTACAGCAGTTCTCACACCTCTAAAAATACACAAGACTGCCTCATTCTCTGTAGCTGCCCCACACTTAATATACAGCACAGATGAGATAAACAGCACCTGGCTACCTCAACACCTTTGTCAGCCCATTGCCAGATAAGTAATGCAAATAAGTGTTTTTCTTTCACTTTTGCTGCTGTTAAAATGTAGGCCATGAGGGGATGACCCTCAGCAAGGCACAGCTTTTTATCCTATAGTCTCCTCTGAATACCATTTTGGAGGTGTTTGACAAGTGTATTTTATAATAGTAACAGAATAAAAACTGAGAGCCAGTCAGCAGTAAGGCTGCACAGACACCTCACACTAAATATTCCAATAGGAGAATTTTTACAATTGACACTCATCTGTCCCACTGAAAGACCTCAAGCACATTCACAGGTCACATGTTGAGGAGCACGTTATCAAAATGGTTGTTTGTATCTGACGTGACAAAGGTTGTCCAAGTGAGGTGTTGATGGAAGGTGTGAAAATAAATGACTAATCTTAGATGGCACCATATGCTGATGGAATTTGGAGACTGCCCTGAGCACACCTAGTTCTATTAAAATAGTTTCCTGACACAGCCTCTAGTTAATCCCTGAGGGTGAGTGAGCTACAGCATCATCAAGCAAGGGCAAAAGTTCAGTACCAACAAAGAAGGAAGAACAAATAATACAACTTTCTCAGACCACCTGTGGTTCCTTTTTGGTTTCTTCTACGAGCAGCAATGAGACACAGATTTGTGCAGTTTAAAAAGAAATTCTTAACAGCCAAGCTAAAGGGTCCCTCACATCTCTGAAGCAATTTTTCCTTTAAATAAATCTGAAAATTCTGAGAATGATACCCTGCAGAATATATGAAGAATCTGTTCAACAACTTGAACACCCATACTATCTGCAAATGACCTACTTTCTTTGCAGTTGCCCAGCACAATAATCCCTTACAAGAGACAGCAGCTGCCTTGCAACCAGTCAGCTCCCCACCACAGAAAGGGCTGTGCCTGACAATGGAGATATGCTGCTTAGTTTGACATGTTTAACACATGTATTTCTGGCTTGTCACCAAGCACATTTAACATATTTTGCAACACTCTTTACTACTCACAGGCATATGCTATTGCAACGACCTGAGTGAAAAAGCAGTTATCTGCTGTCTAACAATGTCTACTCCAATTCAGTCTCTCTCCTCCCTTCAGCAATATATGCATTCAAAAGAGCAAAGGAGAGAACCTGGGTTCTGAGAACCTTGAGTCTGTCTGCCAGAACTCAAAGTCTTTTCAAGTGTGACAAGGCTTCACTGAAGACTAGCATGACTCCTTTTGGAAATCTAGGATACTCAGATTTTACCCCAAAGCCAAGCAGAGCACATGCCTGTTCATCATACAAAGGGCTACTTCTGTGGGCTCTGACTGGTATGGCAGAAAACACTGGATTTAATCACGAGAGGGAAGCAGACAACAGGTGGGAAGGATGGAACTTGTCTGTACAAATCCAAACTTTTGCAGACATCAGCATCTGGATGACTGCCTAGACTACCTTAACAGGGGAAGAAAAAAAAGAATAGGTAACTCCACTTCATTGAAAAGATGGACATCTAAAACAAATCAGATTTTTCACATTGTAGAAGTGTCTATTTTCCTCTAGCCAGCACAGACGATTGAGACATAGATGTCATCACCATAAATATAAATTGTCACTTGCAACAACTTCAACAGCATCAAGGTTTTAGCTCACATAGGTTACCTGTTTTAGATCTTCCTGTTTTGATTATGCATCCTAATAAAGAGCATAAATCAATGCAAATACCGTTTAGAATCTTCAGCAGCATGTTGATTTGCATTTAAATCTTGCATTAGTACACCTGCAGAGAAGACTTTCACAACAGCTTCATAGTCAAATGACTCTGGAAGCTCCAAAATGTGCACTTTAGCCAGGATACAACAGTTGTATGAAGCTCAATATACTCTATTGTCAGTGCTGAGTTAGAAACTGAAAAATTCTTTCATCATCCCTCAGAAGTATTTCCTTACTTTATTAGAAAGCACAGATCATTGCAGCCTAATGCAAACAGGCAGCAAATGTGCTACACATCCATACAGAACACAAACTATAGCACATATTGTGTCAATATATAATTTCTAAGTGTAATATAATAGCTAATCAATGAACTCAGCATTTTTTATCTCCATAAAGTCACAGCTTCTCTACATATCACTATGATTTCTTTCATTTGAGTGTGAATTACATTAATATCACTGTTACTTGCATGACCAAGTAAGAAGTCTAGACTACACTGGCATGTAGGACAAACATCACATTCACAGCACAATTTCTTCACCACTGTAACCTGAATTAACTTTTCAACCTCTTGTCTAATGATATGTTATAAATAGATGGAAACCATTATCATTCCAGACTATCTTCTCCTGTGCTAAAGTGTTAAGTGCTCCATACTACACACAGAAAGGCTTTTCCTTACCTTCACTCCAGACAGGTATCATTCTCACTGTTTTAAAAGGTTAGTGCTGTTGATGTTATCCATGTCTAGTATTCCAGAAAGAATGAACTTGTTTATGACCTGCTCAGTATTCCCTAAAAGTTCCAGTTTTGTTAGGTGTAAAATGGGGTACTGATAATTGCAGCATTTAAGCCCTGGGATACCCATGTTAGTCAAACAGAAGTGAAAGGAACGGTTGGTCTGGAACTGGAAATTCCCAGTTATGGATGTAGCAATACACCAGATGCCATGCACTGTATAAGAATGAAGGCTGCACACAAGATTTTCCTGAATATGCAGGTACCCACCTAACTGGGAAGATTGCAGCAAAAGGTGGGAATAAGCACTGTCATCCCATGAACCAATGGAACCCAGGACCGAGGAATCTGATCCTGCTGTCTTGATACATTATTTTACACTGTACCAATCAATCCAAGTCCACAGCAATCAGGAAGCCTTCAGGGTTTTCCAGAAAGCTGGATAAAACAGGTACCCATAAGGGCATCCTCAAGTCAATGTATCAGTAGTAAGGAATATAGGGTTGCCTTGTACCAACCTGTTTCTTGGGGATGCTGGACACTTCTAATGCTGGATTTGGTACAGATATTGTAACCTACAGTTTTCTGCTTTTTTATACACTCAATGTGCTTTTATCAGTCAAGTATGTTTCTGCTTGAAATACATCTATCTATAACTGAAAGAAAAAACCAACCCAAACACCAAAACCATACAACTTAGAATTTGAGAAGAGTCACCTTTTCCCCTATTAAGACTTCTTGATCCTTCACCAGGATTTCCTGACATTTGATACAATAAGCAGAAGCATCTGTGCACTCCATCTGTACACAAGCATGGCATGTAAGGCCCAGTACACAGCTTGTAAAGAAATGCTGTTTTCACCACAGCAGAGACAGGAGTTCCTCCAGATGAGTTTTTCCTTCTTCCTCTGAGAGCAGAAGCCTAGCAAACCTAGCCAACAAAATTAATGCTTGGGTTGTATAAACAGTCCCGTAGATTCAATTTCTTTGAGCTTATGCTCAAAAAAATCCAGCTCTGAGGTGATGTGTGTAAGCAGATACCTATCAGCTTTTTCTAAGATTGTCTAATGTCTGTGTAGCCTACACTGTCTACTTTTTCATATGAAAAAAACCCCAAACAGTTTATATTCACTTTCGAGCAAAAGCCACCTTATCAGACAACAGAGCAAACTCAGACTCCTCTTTCCTGTCCTTGTTCTACACATGTGCAACAAAACATCAAGCCTTAAAATACCCCAAAAATACGATGCTTCCAACTTAAAAACAAAAATAATTTCACTGAAACTGGGTTTCAAGATGTTTGGATGATGTGGAAACAGAAACACATCCAAGGAGTCTGTTTTCCCAATCAAAGCAAAGAGCTACTACTGTGATTTTGAATATGCACACAGACCTCCCAATCTAAATCACATCTTTATGGATATTGCTTAATAATATGAAATAGCAAGTATTTGGCTTAACTTCTTTAAATAAACTAGCTAACAAAAAGCAGTTCATGCTGATGTGTCACTATGATTAAAAGTAGCAACTGAAAGTACTCTTGTTTGTCACTTTTACAGCCCTACAGCTCTGATTAAAAAAAAAAATCAGCTGCTTGTCCTGAATTTACAGAATGTATACACAGATTGTGGACTAACTACTGGTTCTACAATAGCCTAACTTAACCTGTAGATGGTCAATGTTTTAATAGCTTAACCTTTTTATTATTGTTGTTATTTTAAGTAGTTTACTTGATAAAAGTATGAACAATTCACTTTTAAACAACTTTCAGCTATTTCCAGATTCAGATCTATCACTTGGTCCCAGGCAGTGAGGCAGTTTTACTTAGTTCTGTGCTCAGTTTAAACCTCTTCCCAGTACCTTTTTTCCTCGTAGCTGACAGCATCAGCTTTTGGTTTGCATCAAGGGAATCTGTTCTCCCTCTGCTCCACTGTGGCAGCACATTTGCAGCTCTATGACTTTTTCAGATCAAAAGGAAATGCAGCCCTTCATCAGTCTCCTTACTGAAGATCAAATTTCACTTGCATAACAGTGACTCTGCATCACATAATGAGGGCTTCACGTGTGATAGAGCTAAACTGAAACTGAAAAAAAATAACATATATCATTATCTTCCCTTGACTGGATACAGGAGAAATTTCTCTCAGAAAATAATGAAACTGTATAAAAAAATCCAAAAATTAATGGGGAAAAAAGTTTTCAAAAGACTTAAAAGTCAACACAGTATCTTTTTAACCCTTAAGATGACTTCTAGTCAGAGTAAATACAGATATTTTATAGTAATAGTTCCTGTCTTGTGCAGAAAGTCAGGCTACATTAGGGGATCACAACAGTCCATTCTGGATGGGACATCAATGAAATAATAACAATATCAAAGTTTGGTTTTATGGAGCATTTAAAGGTTACTTTAACTCCTCAAATTATACCTGTAACCATAAAAAATTCAGAAAATCTAAAATTTACTTCTTATATGACCTTCAAATTTTTAGGTACTTGAAAACTCCTCACTAACGAACTACAGAAATATATCTTGTGAGTCTACATGAAGTTACAAATTAAGTTACAAATTATTTGGGTAAACACAGTAATGACATATAGCAGGCAAACAATTTTAAGATCCCCTGGCTACTGAAAGTTCTATGTACTCTTAGACCTAACATCCCTTTAATCTATCCTTCACTTGTTTCCTAAAAAGAATTAGTAACAATTTTTGTACTGGTTTTCTGTGAAAAGAACATAAGCAGCCCAACATTAATCTTTTCTTTATTTATTATAGCTGCCCAGCTACCCCTCACTTCAGCCATTTAGCAACCCTGTTATGAAACAGCTGCTTTTAGTGAAAAAAGTCCAAACTGGCAGCATTCACAGACCACTGGGAATACAGAGCATTTTAAGGAGATGCTTCTATAACTCACTATCAGTACCCTCTGATTTATTTATCTTAGGTTTTTCTAGGCCCTACCTTAAAGCCTCCAATCAGGATTATGCTTCTAAAGCCTCAATATCAGAAAGTCTGGCTTTTCTCTGGATTTTCCCAAGGAGAACTTCCCGTTCCTCTAAACCAATACACCCTTCTTAAAACACTTTTTTTTTCCCCCAGTCTTTCATTGCTGCTGAATCTGATTCAAAAGGGGCCCATCTGCTCCAGCTACATCATCAGGAGAGTTCTGCACTTCCACAGCTGCCAAGGTTCCTGTCCCCCTGCAGAAGCTGGAACTGCTCCCCCCACCCCCTTCACAGAAATGATGTGAAGTAACCGATGGATCCACAACACTTTTCCATGATCATTTCTACACTGGTTATTTCTCTAATGTAAACTCTCCTTTGCTCACACTTTGCAGGGTCTTCATTTGTTCCCTTAATAAAATGCACCATAAAATGAGAGTGCAATTTTCCAGTGCAAAGGGAAAAAATCCTATCAAATACACTAATCTTCCTATAAATTCCATGAAGCAGTTCAAAAAGCCCAGATGGGTGACTGTTTCTATTAAATTCTCTCAAGTGCTGGAGCAGCTTCTTCAGGAATTCTAACATTTCCTTAGAATTTAAGTGACTTAACCTCCACTACATTCTATAAAGGCTGAAAACCAACCACCTGCAAGTATGGTCTAGAACATCACATATAACACAAACCAAATGGAAAACTGCATTAACATGAGGGATGTCATTGTTAACCTGGGACATGCTCTGAAAATGCATTCTCTCTGACAAATTAGATGTACCACCTGGACCAGAATGCAAGCAGACCCCAAAACACCCAGAACCACCTGACTCCTGCTATTCATTCAAGGCTGAGAGAGTTTGGTCTGATTAGTCTGGAGAAGTGTCCAGGGAGACCTCAGAACCCCTTCCAGTACCTAAAGGGGCTCCAAGAGAGCTGGAGAGGGACTTTGGACAAGGGCATGTGGTGATAGGAGAAGAAGAAATGGCTTTAAATTGAAATAGAGCAGATTTAGATTAGATCTAGGAAGAAATTCTTCCCTGTGAGGGTGGTGAGGCCCTGGCACAGGTTGTCCAGGAAAGCTGTGGCTGCCCCATCCCTGGAAGTGTTCAAGGACAACCCAAACCCTTCTATGATTCCATGATTTTCAAGGCATAAAAACCTACTAAACTGTATCTGCATCTCTGCTTTGCCAGAGAGTCTCTTCCAGATAATGTTTAAAAATAAATTCAGTTCTGAGCCATAGAAACCCTTGCAGGAAGTTTTCTTTGGTTTGTTTTTTTATAAATGAGCTTATGTAAAATAAGAACAATTTGAACAAAGTAAAACAATGCACTGGATTCTTTTAGTTAAAATACAATGGAACTAAAAAATTAAGTTTAAATGGCACAACTTTCTACCTGGACATGAGTGCCAGCCATGGGAATCAGCTGGACCTGTTCTTAAGTTGAATTTCTGGACAGAAGCTGGCAAGGTGTTTACAGTGGGAATTATTGTACTATGGAATGTGGGGTTTTTTCTACCCATTCACAGTTGGTTTTAGGGGCAAGTTGTGTCTCATCTCTTCATGCAGCATTAAGTCTTTTCTTTGCACACAGTACTTCTTTACAGTATCTGTGAAGGGTAAAATTGAAGAATTTATTTTTATTGATAATATGAAATTTTCACACAGTCACACAGAAATGAATTACAACTCAGTAGTAGTCATCAGTCTCCTTACCAAATGTAATGCATGCACTTTAGCTCGTTTGATCTTGGCAAACTTCAGAAGTAAATAACTTAGTAATCAAGAAACAAAATAAATTATATTAACATATTTTAACACAACAAAAATAAAGCTTAAGTGAGCTACCTTGAGTTCATATCTTACCTATAATAATTCACATAAACTTACTAGTGAAATTAATGAAAAACATTTGAAATCAAGTTTGGGGAATTTGTTTAGTTGAGAATCAGGTTCATTAAATGTCAATATGCTGAGCACTCATGACACTGATGTGAAAAAGTGTTCTCTAATCTCACAGGTTAAGCAACAATAATAAGTCTTCATCGAGTTTAGGGTGTAAAAATAATTTATTAGCTTTTGGTCATAAAAAAAATCAGCTACTATTTTTGATTTTTTTTTTTTCTCTAAACAGCAGCAGTCAAAAAGGTGACAATTGAAAAGTGTTCAATAAAAAATAAGGCAAGCATTGTAAATTTGTTCCTCAAAAATCAATGCTGTAGCACTACAGAATCAAGGGTAGCAGAAAAAAAATAAATAATAACTTAGTAAAACATGACAATCACTGAGTTATCTCACCAGTGCTATCTCACTGCTTTAGTTGGCCAAGGAAGCATTGCTGAAGCAGTATGAAAGTCAACTTGTATTTCAAAACTATTGACAGTTGATTAAGATTTCAAGGCATCCCTTTGGGTGGGGAGGTGAAGTGTGCCACGGTGATGGCAATTTTATATTCTACCGGATGAAGTTTGTAAAACATGATGGAATACTGATCCCAAAAGCTTGCAAGACAACACTCCTTGGCTCTACTGTTTTTGCTCGGTGATCCTCTGCAAGCAGAGCTTCATGTAGGAATTTTTATTGCGGATTTCTATCACTGCGTCTCTGACGAGCTCGATGAACATCTGAGGCCAGAGCTTCTGCAGCGACTCGTTCTTCAGGTTGATGTCAGCTGCCTCCTTCACCAAGGTCTCCACGTATGTCTGGCAAAATGCTTTCCTTTCCTTGATTTCCTGCATGAGAGAACCATTACACGTTGTATAAGGAAGAGGGGGGAAAAAAAAAAAAGGTTAAACGAGAGCAAATAAAAAAAAAAACCCACAAAAATTTCATGAATTAAGGGACACAGCAATTAACAAGCAAAGAGGTTATTGTGCACTTTCTTCTCTTAGTTTTAAGTCTCATGGCCCAGGGTCTGTGGTGAGCAAGAGAATCTTAGTGTATTCATAATATCCATGCTATATTAATTCATTAATTATCTGAAATCAACTTTTAAGTGGTCATAAATAACTTTTAATAGCATTAACTATTTCTGTTGCCTTCTGGCATTGCAGTGAAAATTTACAGAAACTATAAAGCACTAAACCACTTTTCTTCCTTCTCTCCCTTTCCAGCACTTCATCATCACAGTACAACAGTTGGAGAGTACATGTTTATCTACCTGCCCTAACAAGCACATCACCATAGAAAAACATGCCAGTACATATCCTTTTCAACAGGCACTCTGGCAAGTGCATGGCTCCTAATGAGTATTATGATAGATACTGAAGCAAGTTGAACCTTTAAAAATTAATAAAAAGATACGGTGCTTTGTGCAGCTACTATCTCTGCATTTTAGTAACTCAAACAGTATTAATCTCTGTTTCTGCAAAGTTTCTATAAAATGCCATCATAAGTGTTGAACAATAAGTTATATTGGTGCTAAATGTCTAACTAGTTTGATGTATGGCATTGTTTAAAATGCTGGATCATGCTTCAGGCCAGCGAAACAGAAGTTTTCTTCAATGAGTGACAAAGCAGAGAAAATACTTTCCACTGGTTTCAGCTAAAAACCCAAATTATTAAACAATGACTCAAGGCTGTCATCTTTACCAACATGGTTACTGAGGTGCATTTATCATGTCAGTTTAATGTTGGTTTGGCCTATCTTACATCCTGCAATATCTGCTGCAAACACAGTGCTATAGCCAAGGACAAGGTGGGAATTGCTGCACTGGGAAGAGAAAACAATACATGTATTTCATGGACTGCACAAATACCAAGCTTATTTTGTTTTATTATATTATATTTATTATATTTATTATATTATATTGCTTGTTCCATGGTAAAGGACAAGAGGAATACCTCACTGCCTTACTCCATGCTATTTGAAGTTTTAAGAGCTACAATCACAGCTTTTGAAACCAAAATGTTTTCTTAATTTAATCCCTCCACACATGCAGCCACTGTCTCTGCTCTATGCTGTGGATCTGAGATAACAAAGCCACGGTGCAATAACTGAATTCAGTGATTACTGAACTTGTTTAAATTTCTTGCACTAGAAGATTTACCTACTTCTACACAACTAAAAAGCAAATAATGGGACAAATGTGGCAATTAGGGTTATACAGCTAGAACTCATGATGACTGCTCAGAAAGGAGACTGTGGCTGAAAGAATCATGTTCCCTCTGGGAACAATTTCCCTCTGCCCAAGCAAAAGAGTGAGCAGATCAGAAACACAAACTAAAACAACCGTGACTGATGCACTTGTCTGAAATAAGCCAGCTTGCAGTTTTATTAATAATTAAACCTAACACATTTCATATATATTTACTTGCCTGTAGCTCATTTAAAAGCTAGGAAAGAGCTCTTTATTGCTACAGCCTACACTCTCTGAAGTGCTGTCTCAAGGTGTTTCTTCACCAATTCATTTTGGGAAAATCTAACACGTGCAATATATATTTTTCTTTGTAAAAAACTGTGCTCGCTTCTTATATTTTAATAATTGAGGTACATTTTGTCAAGAACATAAGGCTGGTAGGTGAGAATGTATTTCTGAGACAGTGGCACTGTTCAGCAACTACTTCAGTAAAGAGAGAAACTGAGCATTTCCCAATACTCTGGCAAAGATCAGTCAGATGAAGTGTTTGATCAGGTATGTAAATATGTTAAGCAGTGATATTTTAAAACCATCATTCTCAACAGCACAACTGAAACTTGATATCTAGACAAATTCCATGGGTAGTAGCCTAAGGTTACCTAATAGAGAATAAAAGTATTTTTTAATGATACACTTACCTCAAGCTTTTCCATATGGAAGTCCTTTGTCATGTAATTCAATGTTGCTCGAGTTGTGCTTTCCCCTCCATTTCTTCTGTTCTCACTACTTTCCTCACTCCCAACCCCAGATTTCTTGCCCTTTCCCTCTAGCAGATAATGGAATTGCTTCCTCCTGTGAAAAGATAAGAGGTTTACAGTCCTAATTATTGGAATTTTTTTTAAGTGCAGATGTTTCTAGTGATTGTGAGGGTTTTTTTTTTCTCCTTTTGAACACATATTTTTGAGCTTTCAACTATATTGCATTCTCAAGCTAGTCAAAATACATATGATTCTAGATATTCCTTCATTAATTTGCCTCTATACAATTGACCTTGACATATATCACATAGCATCTCCTAAATAGGAAGTCTTGCAGCTTAAACTTAAACTCATTTCTAGAAGACTAAAAATAGAGGGGTTTAAGCACCCTTTTTTTACAGTACAACTCCTAAATCTGTCAACTGTTACAGTCACCCACTATATAACACCCACAAAAAATAGCCAGTTTTCATTGTCAAAGTCCAAAAGTCTTCACCAAGACCAATACAATGGAGAAGTGAACAAGCAGTACATTTGTATGCATGTGCCTTTTCACTTTACTCAGCAGACTTCATACAAATCGTGTGAAAACCTCTGGCTACAAAGACCAGGAGATGGTTACACTTGTGCAGCACGCAGAGGACTTATCATCTGCAAGATAGTTTTTGTGAAATTACCTTTTTACCCAAAAAGAATTTACCACAACAGTGTGCAAAAGAATTTAACAACACGTTCTGGACAAATCCCAGTTCTGTTCATTGCGTTTTACCTGGATTCTCCAAATAATGAAAGTACACGATAATGTGGCAGCTCAGAAGATGCTACATATGCCAGGATGCCAAAGAGCCTTTCTGCCTTTACAACATCATCTTCAGTGACCTGTGAGAGAGTGGGAAGGCAACAAAAATGGAAAAAGTTACACTTTAATATTAGCACATTCATATTTCATTACACATGTACATGGAGAATTAACTCAGACTCGTTACACAGGACACTGCAAACAGATCTGTTCCAGGCACATCTTCAAAACAGATTTGCTTTTACTGGCACTTCAAATGTACTTTAGAAGAAACCAAATGGGGTAGTGGTGCTTGTTTGATTTCCTGTAATTCTGGAAATTCCAGTGTATGTACTGTGCGTCATGAGAGTCTTTGTGAAATGAGGAGTTTCATAACAGTTTCTTACATTGATTTTCTGAAGGCCAGACACAGCAATTCTGCTCCATATTGCCTGCACTTGCAGAAGGTCTACTGGAAAATTTCTGATTAAGTTATGCTGGAGAAAGATTCTGGGCATGCACATGTGAAAAGGTAAGTTACAGATTCTCCTGTTTTGGCAGAATCATGGAGAAGACCTTATAGAAAGAGAAGCTTTAGAAGGGAAAAAAAAAGTATTTTCTCTGCATTTTTCAACTCATTTTTCAACTCCCCAAAATAAGTGTTCTTCCATTACACTTCTCTAAATATCAACCACACTGTTGTGTCACCATTAAGTTACAGATATCTCTTTAAACTAATTTTCAATGCTTGAAAAGTTTTCAGAATTCATTTTATACAAAATTGAAAAGTGTAAAGAAGGTGAAGGGGCTCATTTTTTGGTGGTGGTTGTTACTGTTTTCTGTTTGTCTTGGCTCATAACCTCTGGAGACCACGGCCTG